GCTATATATTAATTGTCTCCTTAGTTATCTGAGACCAAGTTTTGCCACCATCACACCAGACAGTCAACATCTCATTATTCTGTCTTATTTTACTTCCCATAAATTATCTGAAATTATTTTATGTATTTGGTGACCTGTTTCACTCATTAGAATTTTAAACTTCATTACAGCAGGGACCTTATTTATTCTTATTAATTACTGTAATCCCAGCATATAGAAGAAACCTATTTGTTGATGAATAAAAGAAGCAATAAAAAGTAGCCTTGCTATAAATTTCTTATCTACACCAATAAAAAAATAGTAACAGAATACAATAACATATGTTTTTATAATTATGCAATTTATTGAAGATCATATTTGTTAAGTATCAGGAATGCATAAAATTCAATGTATTCATTTAAAAGTGTAAAAACCTAACACTTTACATAAGAATATTTTCAGTAATTAAGTACTAATTAGACATAATATTTTAGTAATTTATATTTCATAAAGCTTTCAAATGTTATGGAAATCATGATTCGGCAAAAAGCATATTCAGCATATAATGTGGAAAAAAGGTGACTTTGTATTTGTAATATTTTTAAAATGAAAAAAGTATCAACAAATAAGTACATAATAATATAAACTTATTTGTCTAAAGTAGCTACTTTAAGAGATTGAACACTTTGTCCTTCTATGTTAATAATTGTGCTATAGTTAAATGAAAATTAAGAACCATTCAGAATAATCATCATTTATTGGGGTTTTAGAAGAGGTCTTTTGCTTTGGTGAGAAAAATATATGCTGACATGCTATGAAATTTGGAATATTATCCTAGATTCTTTAAAATCCTATGGTCTACAACAGGTGTCCTCAAACTATGGCCCACGGGCCACATGTGGGCCACCTAGCACATTTATCCAGCCCTCCGCATGTTTTTGCCACCACTGCCTGTCCTGCTTAGCAGCCAACTCGTCCTGGACCCACAGTACGCACTCTTCAACGGTCGGAGGGACAGTGAACTGGCCCCCTGTTTAAAAAGTTTGAGGACTCCTGGTCTACAAGAATAAAAAAAACCAAAGTTCATTTCCAAAATTTTCAGATATTTCTAAAAGACAGATGACATCTCAAAAGTAGCTTCTTATATAGTAGCTTTCTGTTTCAGCAACTTTTGTCAAATGACTTTGATTATATCTATAGAACATAGTCATATATAACATACTATATTTAGTTTATAGATATATTGAAGTATCTATTTATTTTAGTATCATTTACATAAATCAATGCTACCCAGATTATGCTCTGTAGACATTCTCCTGAAAAATGTGAAAATACATGGTACATATGCACCTCAGCATATTAAAGGATTTGGGAAGTCCTGTTGGGTGAGGATCTTATATTTATTTGAGAACCAGTTATGATAATTTGCAAATCATGTTTGGGGAGCGATAGAGCAGAAAAAGTTTTGTAAAATAATCTAATAGGTCAAAAGAGATGAGCTCTATGATTAACAAAAGATACAATTGAAACCTTCTTTAAATTTATTTTTAAAATTTAAAATATTCAAATGTAAAATTACCTATCTTAAAGCAACATAAATCAATTATTAACCATCAATGATGGCTAAATGTCAGCATAGCTGTGGTAAAATTCAGAAATAGACCCTAGTATATTAAAATGTATATATCAAATATATGAATAATAAAGAAAGAATCACAAATAAAAATGGAACAGAGTCATATTACAAATAATTAAAACTGAAAAAATTGAAGTTGACATGAAATTGTTGGAAAGATGACTTTCTAAACTTAAAGGTGACAGGAAGATAATCACAAAGGCAAACATTAAAATAAAACATTACAGAACAAAAATGAAACACTTTTATGTGTGTCCAGATAAAAAATAAAAAGCCAAGTTGGGAGAAGATGTTTAAAATGTAAATATTAATATAATGAGCCAACTTATGTAAATCCATAAGAAAAACGCTAAGACAACACAATTTACAACAGAGAAAATACAAATAAATAAACCATAAACACTTTAAAATGTCTGACTTCAGTTGTACTCAAAGAAATGCAACTTAAGATATGAAATATAACTTTTTAATCTATTATATTAAAATAGATTAAATCTTAAAATCTTAAAAAATAAGAAAAAATAGCAAAAATCTTAAAAAATAAGAATAACCAAGGCACAATTACAACCCAGTGTTGAATACTGGGAAATTTATAATAATACTTCCGAGAATCAATTTGGCAACAAACATTAAAAGTCTTAAAAATATCCAGCCAGGCACAGTGGCTCACACCTGTAATCCTAGCTCTCTGGAAGGCTGAGGTGGGAGGATTGCTCAAGGTCACGAGTTTGAAACCAGTCTGAGCAAAAGCAAGACCCCATCTCTACTATAAATAAAAAGAAATTAATTGGCCAACTAATATATATAGCAAAAATTAGTCGGGCATGGTGGCACATGCCTGTAGTCCCAGCTACTTAGGAGGCTGAGGCAGTAGGATCGCTTTAACCCAGAACTTTGAGGCTGCTATGAGTAGGCTGACACCATGGCACTAACTCTAGTCTGGGCAACAAAGTGAGACTCTGTCTCAAAAAAAAAAAAAAAAAAAAGTCTTAAAAATTTCCTTTTCTATATATACCCTAATAAAATAAATACAAGCATTTTCTAATTATTTATGGTTAAAAACATTTATCACATTGAAAAATCAGAAATAACTACTGCTCTATGACTTCTTTACTCACTAATAAAGGTTAGACATGGCATATTCCAGTGTATTCAATGAAATAGATATTAAGAATCACAAGTTATGAATAACATGAAAACACTGAAAAGTTCAGCAAGATGAAGCACACTAAACTGGATATTTGCTAGGAGCATAGCTATTATTAAAAGATAGAAAATGTTAAAACTGAAAGAACAATGTGCCAAAATGTTAACAGTGATTCGTTAGATAGGGAGATTATGGGTAGTGGTATTTTGATCTGCTTTTTAGGTGTTTTCTATAATGTAAAAGTATTATTTTTAAATTTAAAAAATAAGGCCAGGCACAGTGGCTCACGCCTGTAATCCTAGCACTCTGGGAGGCCAAGGTGGGAGGATCACTCAAAGCCAGGAGTTCGAGACCAGCCTGAGCAAGAGCGAGACCCCATCTCTACTAAAACAGAAAGAAATTATCTGAACAACTAAAAATATATATGTAAAAAATTAGCTGGGCATGGTGGTACATGCCTGTAGTCCCAGCTACTCAGGAGGCTGAGGCAGAAGGATTGCTTAAGCCCAGGAGTTTGAGGTTGCTGTGAGCTAGGCTGACACCACGGCATTCTAGCCTGGGCAACAGAGACAGATTCTTTGTCTCAAAAAAGAAAAGAAAAGAATACTTCAGCTATCCTTTTCTGTGTTTTGGAGACAGTCTCTCTTGTCACCCCAGTTAGAGTGCAGTGGCATCACCATAGCTCACTGCAACCTCAAACTCCTAGGCTCAAGTGATTCTCCTGCCTCAGCCTCCTCAGTAGCTGGGAGTACAGGCACGCGACACCATGTCTGGCTAATTTTTCTGAATTTTTTTGGGGGGGTTTCATTCTTGCTTAGGCTACTCTCCAACTCTGGAGCTCAAGTGATCCTCCTGCCTCAGCCTCTCAGAGTGTTGGGATTATAGGCATGAGCCACTGCACCTAGCCTATTCTTAAAAATGGAACTTTTCTTCAAGAGAAATATAAATTTAAACATTATTGATATTACATTGGAAGTTTTATTAAAATTTTTATGTGGAAAGATTTCAATTTTTCAAATTGAGCTAACAAAATTCCTGGGAAGCTTATGTGATTAGACCCCTGAACAAAAACCATAAACATACAGCCAATAAAAGAGCTAATATTCAAATACCAGAATGGTCTGTAAATTAGGCAATAATATATTAACTTTAAATTATTTCCAGAAGCATATTTTAAAATCAATGCTACACCTTTCTGATCTACATTTTTGTTAAAACTTTAAGATATTTCTGAGAATATTCCCTAAATTTCAAACATAAACAAGAAATTGTGCTTAGATGATTTTTTTTTCCCTACAAGAAACAAGTGCAATATATTAAGGTACTCAGTTTGCTTTATTAAACATAAAATATGCCTGTAAAGGTGAAAGAAAAGAAGGCAAAGCAGGCTTCTCTGTCTATCCCTGGGGAAACCTTAGGTGAATTTGCAGCCCTGAATTATAAACTATGGTGATTTAGCAGTGAAGCTGATGGATTTTAATTAAAGCCTTCTGCAATCCTTAGTGGTTTAGAGGTGGAAGAGCCAGAATTTTCAGGGAGTGGAAATATAACTCCAATTTACTTAATCCTTTTGCTTCTAAGTTAGTGGTATCTTTTAGCTTTTGAAAATATATATACATACATTTCTGTAAAATTTCAGTATGAGTCTCTAAAAGATACTCTGAAACATACTGACGTATTGACGACAATATTGTCATGTCTAAAGGAAAATAAAGTGTCCAAATTTTTCAAACACAGTTGTTTCTACTATAATTGTTGGGATTGGAATATACATAAATTACATATATTACAATTGGTTGATCTGTCTCTTAAGTCTCTTTTAATCAATGTTTCCCTTCCTCTATCACTTTTTTCCCTCTTTGGATTATTTTGTTGAAGGAACCAGGTTATATGTCCTATAGAATTTCCCAGGTCAGTTTCTTATAGTTGTTAATTTTATTAATTGACATACATTATTACATATTGGTTATCAAAGTAGTAGTCAAAGCAATGCAAACACACTGGAGCCAAAAGATTATACCGGAGGTCCAAATCACCTGTTACCAACATCAGAATGAAGACATAACTTGTAAGTAAACGAAAGGGAGGAAAAGCCCATGAAACTATTGTTCTATGGTTTAATCACAGAAACAAGTGATCATATTTTCCTTTTTCACCAAGTATATTACAATGCTAATAAAGTAGCCAGTATAAATCTTAAGTATACATAGAATAAATAGCAAATTTGATAGTACTCACCAGTCTTCATTTCTAATAAGCGCTTTTTCTTTTGCTGGCGTTCAAGTCTTTCTTTCTCTGCTAATTCTTTAGCTATTCTGGCACGTTTTTCTTTTTCCTCTGCTTCTCTTTTTTTGATGTTCTCCTTTATTGCTTGCTATTATGAAAAAATGTTTAAAAATGATCAATTTTATTCACAGTAATTCCACAAGAAAATGAAAAATTATCAACCTCAAATCATACTCCAGGTAGAACTATGATTGAATATCTTTTAGATAATGGTTAGGTCTTATGTTAGTAAAACAATCTTTTAAAAAGATATGTACATAAATTCTTGTTAAATATAATATTATGTACCTATAGATACAACTGCTATGTTTAAAATACCTGCATCTTAGTGGAATTAACTAAAAGGGAGAAGAGAAACAAACAAAAATAAAAACTATTTAATTCATAAATCGAAACTACTTTCCCATATACATTTCCAAAAGAGTGTCTAGCATCTGTATTACTCTTCCTTAGCTCCTATGCTAAGTAAATTATCAAGTACAAGAAAAACAGTTGAAGCAAGGCCAGGAGTGGTAGCTCATGCTTGTAATCCTAGCACTCTGGGAGGCCAAGGTGGGAGGATCACTCAAGGTCAGGAGTTTAAGACCAGACTGACCAAGTGTGAGACTCCATCTCTACTAAAATTAGAAAGAAATTAGCTGGACAGCTAAAAATATATAGCTGGACAGCTAAAAATATATAGCTGGACAGCTAAAAATAATTAGCCAAGCATGGTGGCACATGCCTGTAGTCCCATCTACTTCAGAGGCTGAGGCAGGATTGCTTGAGCCCAGGAGTTTGAGGTTGCTGTGAGCTAGGCTGATGCTATGGCACCCTAGTCCAGGCAACAGAGCAAGACTCTGTCTCAAAAAAAAAAAAAAAATAAAAAATAAACTGCTTAAGAAATGATAGAAAAGAGCTGAAATCTTGTAGTGGCTACTTTATATTATAATTATCTATTAATTTTTCTCATACAGAGAGAAAAAACATAAGGATAACTAAAGAAATATTTGGCATTTCAAAGCCAAATAATAGCATGCTAATCATAAGAATGTGTCCAAAGATATGTGATTAGTTATTTAATTTCTTATTTCCTAAGTTTTATATAAATCAAGACATGCCTCGCATATGGCATTAATGGGAATTAGCCAATAAAAATGAACTTTTTGTAAGTGCCAAAAAACAGCATGGCATCATGCTATATAATGTCTTAATGGAGATTGTATTTTAAGTGCCAATGAAACCAAACAGATTATCACATTGCTAGCTGATCACCAATGGTATTAAATAGAAAAGTGTACAATAAACTATAACTATCATATTATTTTGGGGGAGGCTTTTATTTCTTATTTACTGTAGTAGTCATTTTTCTCAAACCCTAGAGATAGTACAAGTTCTTCATTTGAAATCAAATAGTAAAGTTTAATATTTTTGACAAGAATAATGAAAGGAAAAACACAAGGAAAAAAGGTGGAAGAAAAACCATAGAGTAGAGGCAATATTAACTCATGTATATATATGTTCATTTAATAAATACTAAGAAACTACTAAATGGTACTGCTGTAAGGATGAGGGAGGAGGAGAGAGAAGAGAGCTGTGAGAGCGAGCACCAGTGCACTAGCAGGCACTCTAAAACAAATTTACATTCTATGTGGTAGGGTGGGGTAGGAGGCAGAGACAGAAAATAAACAACAAAAATAAAAGAGTGATGTGATAGAATGCCTGTGGTGTTACATTAGGTGGTTAGATAAGGTCTTGCTCTCTCACTTAATTCAAGCTGAATCTTGAATGCCAAGGAGCTAGCTAAGTGATGATTTGAAGGAAGAACATACCAGGCGGAGGGAAGTACTAATGCAAAGGTTGTTAGTGGGTTTGGAAGATGGAAAGAAAGCCAGCATAGAGGTATAAGATGAGGTCAAGGAAGTATGCTGATAATTTAGGGTAATTAAGGCCAAGATAGGGAGGTTGGATTTTTTTTTAAAGGTACTGAAAAACAACTGGAGATTTTCAAGCAGAAAAATACAAGACTAAGCACTGTGAGATACAAGCACTAATCAAGCACCTTTGTTCCAAACTATCTTTTCAAAGGTATTTGTATAACAAACAATATTGGTAGAGGTAGTATCGACATCCTAAGCAAATGGATTTGTTTTTATACAAAATGATAAACTGGGGCAAAGGGTGGACAGTCTTACCACCTATTATAATAGATTGGGTTCCCTAAGTCCAGGATTCCTCTCAGTAACACAAACCACTATGTATATAGGTGTTACCTGTCCCTCTTCAAACTGCCCTGTGGGAATGTGGGTTTAGGAATCTATACAATTATTTAATCTGGCTACCGTCATTGCTGTAGCTATGCTCTAGCTGCATATGCTGTAGCACTAGCTATTCTTTGTCTCTGACCACACAATCTTGCCTTCTGTCAACATTCATGAAACTATGGCTGGTTAACTTGTTAGCTTGCTGGTAGACAAACTCTCAAACTCTTGACAGTTCTTGACATATACTAACACTAACTATTATTGCTATGAAATATCTGTTGCAATACTATGTGCTTTAACATGCAAACCCTCAAAATCTCAAATTAGATTCTTCATTCTCCATTCTGACACAGAATGGTTAAGTACTTGTTCACTGTAATGAAAGTAGGGGCAATAAAATGCAAATATTGACATGTAGCTACAGTAAGTGTTTTTCCATTATGTTGTTTCATATTATGGTCACATATATTCAAAGTCAACTATGAGACACCGGTTGCTATAAAAATCAATGGAAGTTAAAAAGGTAGGAGAAAGCATCATAAAAGTGGAAAATAAGCATTGAGTGCAGTCAAGTATGTATATGTGTATGTGTGTGTGCACCCATATTTGCATCTATAAGGGACATGGGGTAGGAAGAGTGGTTTGTGATGGAGAAAATATGCAAATTTCAGGAAGCAAAATTGTATCTCTTGCTTGAGGGAAATGAATTCAGAGGAATCTGCAATAGATAAGTAAATATCAGGTAGTTTATTTATGAATCTAATTAAGGTATAACATGTTCTGATATGAATTTTCTACTCTAACGACTGGATACATTTCAATGTGAGTATTTAATAGACCATCTATTATCAGATATAATTGCCACACCCTTCTAGTATTCCACTGGGCAATAAAAATGACTTTCTAAGACTTATAACAATAATGTTTATATTTAGAAGTAAGGTCTGAAGGAGTTCTTAAAGCTATTTTGTTTTATGGAAAATGCACTATTGATTTTCATTTAAAAGCCTACCTCATTTAAAACATATCTTATTCTGACATTATAACTATTATAAGAAGAATTTCAGCTGTAAAAATATCAAAAGACTGCATAGAAATAGGTATTTAGTCTAAAACTAATATCCCAGCTCAAAAAGTAATTTGGGATTTTCATTTATTACAAACGTAAGAAGTAGGCTGAAACAGAAAAGCTGAATAGTGAGAGGACAACATTATTCTAGATGGGATTGCCTCTTAGTTATTTCAATACTAAATTCAAGCAAGGAAGTTAAGGATAAGCCAGACATAAATAGAGTTGGCTATAAGACATTGAATTTCTTTTTAAAATCATCTTATTCTTGACCTGGTTTTTTATTTAGACAATTGGCAAATAAATTGTACTACCACCAGCTACTTTCAGCTATGTTTTGCCAAAAGAAATTGTTTGAGTGTTCTTAAAACTTGGCACCCTCCCACCCCCAGGTGGAGACTGGTAACTGGGGCAAAGGGTGGACAGTCTTACCACCTATTATAATAGATTGGGTTCCCTAAGTCCAGGATTCCTCTCAGTAACACAAACCACTATGTATATAGGTGTTACCTGTGACTTTCCACCTCTATGAGTTTGACTTTTTTCAATTTCACGCATACGTAAGATCATACAGTATTTGTCTTTCTATGAATAGCTTATTTCACTTAACATAATGTCTCCTAGGTTCATCCAGTTGTCACAAATGACATTTTTTAAGGCTGAATAGTATTCCATTGTATATATTTACTACATGTTTAAAATCTATTTATCCCTTGATGTAATCAATGGTTTTGAATCTTACGAGATGGGAATTCAATTCACTTTTTTCTCATCCTTCTCCCATTAGTCTGCAAAGTTACCTCTTTGGGATTTCCAGTGGCCATATATGTGTTGATCTCTTTGGGGCTGTTTTGGTCCATTTGATCAATGTATCCACATTTGCAGAAATAAAACTGTCTTATTTATCATGGCTTATGTCTCATTTCTTTTTTAGAAATGTCTTTGATATTCTTGGGCCTTGGTTCTTCCATTTATATTTTAGAATAGACTTAAGGTTCTTTGAAAGGGACTATTAGAATTTTAAATTGAAGCCCAGGAGTGGAGGCTCACGCCTGTAATCCTAGCACTATGGGAGGCCCAGACGGGAGGATTGCTTAAGCCCAGGAATTTGAGGTTGCTGTGAAGTAGGCTGACGCCATGGCACTCTAGCCAGGGCAACAAAGTGAGACTCTGTCTCAAAAAAAAAAAAAAAAAAAAAAAATAGAATTTTAAATTGATATCTTTACAATTTTGTGTCTCTTTATGAACATGATGTGGCTCTTCATTAACTTGGGTCTTTTAAAAAGTATTTTTTAAAAAATCTCATTTTTTCCATTCAAGTGTTAGACAACTTTTGGTAGATATACTCTTTACCTTATTTTTCTGTACCTATTACAAATGGTATCCTTCCTTTAAAATTATGATTTCTAATGGTTCATAACTAATGTATAAAAATATAATTTTTATATATGACATCAGTTTTTCCTATTTGATAGTTTTCCTATACATTTATTGATAGAGAGCCATAACGACAGCTTAATTTCTTCCATTTCAATTGTTATACTTTTCATTTCTTGCTTGTACTGACTAGGAGTTAAATCCCCATTATTAGGTTAAGAGGATTCCCTCTGTCCCTAGTTTCCTATTTAGGGGTAGAGGTTTCAATTAGTTTGTAGTTCCTTGTTTGAAATCTGATCAGGATTTTCTGAATATCTTGAGAAAAATCTCATGATTTTTTTCCTTTAAAGTCAATCATATTTATGGATATTTTAATATTAAATCACTCTCTAATTTCTG